CTGGAGATGATATAAGAGCTCCAAAACCATGAGACAAGATGTTTTACCATAAGAGACTTTACAAATTACATTGGTGGAATTCTTTAAGTGACAGAAGTCACTTGAACGAGAGATCCAAATACCTTTGTAGAGAAATTGAATCACATACTAAATGGTTATCACATACTAAATAGCTCTTTACTGTCAAAGAACTCAAAAAAACTCAACAGCTGAAAATTCAGGGCATGCCAGTGCAAATTAGAAATATGACTTCCTTAGGAAGGACAATCAACCATGCCAGATACTAAAGGGAACTTCTAAGAATAGCTGCAAATACTTCACATCCTCATGTCTCCACATTAGACTTCATTTAATACAGAAGATACACTTCATCAAACATCTCTGAAAGACAGACTTCTATTAGTGTAGGTTATTGCTCCCAGATAACTAACTGAAAATAACCAATGCATGAATCAGATTAGATTGTCCAAAGATCCCTTATGTTCTTAAAGTCTGCTACTCAGTTTTGTCTAAATCCAAGAAAATAAACCAACCTTTAAGTACAGAATTTTTTCAACTACCCACAGCTTGATATAAAATAAGAATTAATTATTTCCTTTGCTAAATCATCAGTAAATTCTTTCACATCTATAAGCTCCTCTAAGATGAAATATTTGGGTACTAGTCCTTCTAATAGTGACATCAGACGAGACAGGCAGAAACATATTTGGTTTTAAATTAAAAATGAACAGAGTAAACAACAAGGAAATAATAATTTTCTGAGCAAGACCTCTTAGTATTTTCATTTCCATTGCAAGAATTTCATTAGTATTGATCCAATAAAACACCATTTAAGACCTTGAAGGAGGACTGCAACCCTCAGAGATTCAAGCAAAAACTGCTACATGCTTGATTTTTTTTTCAAGCTTCTCTACGCTCATTTTGCCAAATGCTCCAATATGTGAACACTGACACATTAGCATATTGGCTAATCTTGAGATTAGTCAAACTGGGTAGGAATTAACTTCATGAGATTATTTAGAACAGTTATACTGCAGATTCATTTTTGTCTTTTCATCTCCTACATAATGCATTGTAACTTTGGTCTGTGCACTCTTCGTTGCTAGCTCTTTGGTTTCTATACAGGGCAAGGTAAACTGAAATCATACCTCAGAATACCATGAGGCAGGAGAAAGATGAGAAGGAAAAGAAAAAGAAGAGGGAACCTTAAGACAACTAGCAAGACTAAGAGCCTAAGCTTCTTCACAGCTGCCTCAGAATCCTGACACAGTTAAGACCCCCTCTTAGCAGCAGCCAAGTGAATTGCCCACCCACTACACGTAACAACTAACAATAAAGAAAAACTTCCCATCTGTTTTGATGGACATACCACTGTGAGTCAAGAAAAATGAGTAGCAGAAAATCAGTCTGTTCTGCTCTGTCAGCACTTGAGATAAACACCCACTCAGAATGATGTCCTAAAACCTGAGCAGGATACGCACACTTGTCCTGTAACACATGTACAGGCCCTGGGTACTTAAAGACCATATTTATACAGGGGGATTTTACCAATAACATCCTCTCAAGGTACAGTTATCTTCGCTACTATTTCAAAGTATTCCAATAACCAGACTATATTGAAATAGCAAATTCTTGCAGTACTTCTATGTTTGGGCAATTTGGGATGGGCAGAATGATGCATTCACTCAGAAATTTCTTACAGCTGAGGGTATATTTGTTATTATGTATTTTGCGGAGGTTTCGGCACATGAGGGGGATGAGAGGAAGAAAGAGCTCGCAGCTAGAAAACACTGGGAGAAGGCAAAATAATGTGATTTTTCCCATACAAGACTTTGAATTTGAAATGAAAACTCCATTTCAAAATTTTAAAATATTACCTTAAATTTTAAAAATTGTGAAAATTAAGTAGTCTGAAGATAAATTTTTTCATATTGGGTTGATGTAGATTTTTTTAGTTTCAGAATTTAGTCAAGTCAAACACATTTTAAGATCCCCTACAAACAAGCCATTCACATGTTCCAAGAATGCCCCTCAGAGAATGGTGCAAGTCTTACATTTAGTTCTACAATTCCCTTTGCTCTAACATATGAGAATAGGAAAGTACACAGCTGAATAATGCACAAATGTACCAGTGTATCCTTCTTAACCTGATTCCTTTTTTGCATCACTTATTCTGTATTTTGGATCATAATATTTTGGAGGCTGGGCTCAAGCTTTTATTCCATGGTTATATTGGACATAATCATTAGTTAAGGTCCCTGACCACAGCTCCCAGACACTATGCAATACAAACAATAAGCAAAATATTTCAACTAACTAGCAGAGGCACCTAAAAGCACTTATGCCCATAGTGGTCATGGCAGCATGGCAGAGAAACAGTAGGGGTGAAAACTGTATACCTGCACTTAACTTCAGCTATGCATAGTATAAAAATGGATTTTGGGGGGACAAAAAACCCAAATTTTGTTGCTTGCTGAAAAGAGTCCATTCCGTTTATGCAAGCCTGCAACCAGCAAGCATGTACAAAAAGAAAGGACACGACATCACTGAGTGACTGACTACACCACAGAATGGCTGTTCTTGTTATCATATATGAAATATATAATAGTATATAAATATATAGAGAGATAGAGGCTTGTGAATACAGTAACATCCTCACACTGAAGACTTACATAATCAAAGTGTTATAAGCAAGAAGAATATCTGATATTATTTTAATTTGTATTCTAGTTTATCATCCTAGAGAAAGTTATCAAGTTTAACCATCGTATGGCTTATTCTCTGAAGCACTATGAGATATACTAACTACAATTAATTGCTTCTACCTACAATGGGAACACAGTAATGTTAACATAAGTTGACATAACCATCTCCCTCTCTCCTTAAAAAAATCCTTTTTTTTTTTTTTTCAAATTAAGCTCAAGATACAAGAAGCAAAAATAACTTCTATCATACACTTGCCTACAGAAAGTAACTGGAATGAATATATCTACTAAAAATTAAATTAAATAAAAAGACATTATTTTTGACCACAGTCAATCCACAGATTAAATTGGACACAGAAACAACTACTTGCTGGATGTATATTTCCATTTATAAATATCTTTTCTTAGATTTACAAGAGTCAAGTGCAACCACTGTAGGAGATTCCTATGTGAACTTTATCTGCAATTTGATCCTTGCATAGCATGCTGTCTAAGCATTACACTGTACTATAATTTAATACTGGACAGACACTTCAGCAGTTACAAATGATAGACTATTTAAAAGCATTTGACTGTGACCCAAAGATGTACAAAAGCATTCAAAACACCATTTTATTTTGGACTGTGGAGAGGTAAGGTTGCATTGGGGTAGGGCCTATAAAAACATTAAAAGTGGCTCATCGCTAAAGGAAGAAAAAAATGGTCATTATCATTTTAAAAACAAGTCATACACATTTGATAAACAGCCATGCTATTTTAAGCCTGAAACTATGAAAGTGTATAGGTATCTCTCTGGTTTTCCCCAAAGTTTTCACAGCACTAGAGGGAAAAATAAAACCAAGCCTTAATGTTACATTATCATGCTAACCCTTTCCAACCATCTAAAACATGATATTTAATGCTAGTTGAGAAAACAATATGAAGGCTCAGTAAAAGACATACATCATGTATTTCATTTCAGGTTGGGGGTTGGGTTTGCTCCTCCTTTCCTTTTCAAATAAACATGAGCAGTTATGCAATCCTCGGTAAAACCCGAAAAAAACTGCCCCCTCCCAGCACTGCCCATGCAGAGCCTGCAAAACACGAACAGGGAAACTGGTTGTCAGCAGCATCTCCTGCAAGAATCGAAGCTGTCAGCGTTTAAGACGCTTTTCACATGTGTGTTCAGCACCTCGCAGCCCACATCCAACTTCCCTTCGGAATAATTTCACCAAGGTACAAGAGCTTTTACCCAGGATTGGAGAACTATTTGCAACCGGAGGAGGGGGGCGGGCAAGTAGAAGGTGTATTTATTTTCAAACGAGCTAGCCAGGGTTACAGATTAATTCACAGGATTTTGTCCCGTCCTTGTTTTCCACCCCGGAGTACTGTACTCGGCTATATACCTGCGGGTGTTACCCTTCAGCCCCTAAATAGTCTTCCACACCTGATGCTGCTTTTCGCGGAGGACGCTATACAGGAGAGGCTCTCGGAGACAGAGCTTCCTTCATCATTTAAAAGGGAAAAAAAAAAAGAAAGGCAAGTCGCCTCTACCCACTGGTCTCCATAAAAGGGGACAGCTGCCTCTACACAAGCGCACGCAGCAGCAGCAACAGCGGCGGCGGCCGAGGCTTTGTTGTCGGCTCCGGAGCGCAGCGGAGCGTTCGGTGTGTGGTGCGCAAGGTGGCTCCTTCCCCGGCTCCTCCGCGAGATGCCCGCGGCGGCAGCGCCGGGCTCGGCACCCGCCCGCAGCCAACCTCCATCATGGACCTGCCGCCGTGGCGCCGCCGGGAGCGGTGAAGCCGCTCCCGGGCCCCACGGGGCTGCGGCCGCGCGTCCCTCGCGATGGCGACCGGGGGATGCGGCTGGCGGAGCCCACTCCGATGGCAGGGGAAGGTGTGCAGCCCCGCGCCCAGCCCCTCTCCCCGCCAGCTCCCTCCCCGCGGCGACCGGAGGGGAGCGGGGGACACGCCGAAGATCGGGGTGGGAGCGCGGGGATGAACCCCAAGGAGGGGAGCGGCGCACACAGCCCCCCGCGGCCGTTACATAACGGCAAAGGCGGTGGCGGGTTGGGCTGCGCTGGGCTGGGCTGGGCGCCCCTCCGATGGGGACGGGCATCGGCTGGGGGCACCGGGGCCGGCAGCCCCCCGGCATCACCTCCCACCCTCGCGCCCTCGATAAGCCAGCGGCGATCGATCACCGGCGCGATACGAAGGAGGGAGCAGGCACAGTGGACACGACACAGGACACGCACCCCACCCACCCCCAGCAGCGCGGGGCTCGCCTCGCCCCCGGGAGAGCCGGCCCCGCACTCACCGCCGGCTGTGGAGGGGCGGCAGGTCTCGGGGGCTCTCGCCCGGGCTGCGTCCGGCGCTGTGGGCAGTGGCCGCTGCTCTCGGGGCTGGCGCGGCGGTTGCGGCGGCACCGCCCCCCCCGTGCGGGCATTGGCGGGCGCCCGGCGCCGCCCGCCGCGAGCGCCCATAGGCCGCGCGCGGCCCGTCCGGGGAGAGGCCGCGCCCGCCCCGCGCACGGAGCGAGGCGGCGCGCGGGCGCTGCCGCCGTTGCTGCCTTACATGGGCCGCCGCGCCCGTCCCTGTGCCCCGCGCGGTGCCCGGCGCGCGGCGGCAGGTGCGCAGCGGCAGGTGGAGCCTCGGCCGCCCCGAGCACCCTGTGCCCCCTTCCCGAGACACCCAGGGGCGCCAGGGTCCTCCGTGTCCTGCAGGCTCCGGCAGGTTTCGGGCCGGGTTTCCGCTCGTGCTTGAAGCTGGGGTTGTCGACGTAGCTGAAAACCGTGTGAAAGGCTGGGCTGTGTGGCGCAGTGGGCATTCCATAAAAACCTCGCCTTCCCTCAGTTTGCCTGCTTGCCTGGGCTGGCACAGCGGAGAGGCGCAGCCACCAACCTAGCCTAGAGCAATCCCATCCCAAATCCTAGAGCGCAGAGACAGTTCAGGAGTCAGCAGAAATGTGATGAACGCTTGTGCATCCTCATTCGTGGATTTGTAACCAGAGTCCAATGACCCCGTAGAGCTTGGTGGGCTGTAATAAAGTTAAAACAATGTAACTGCAGAGGTGAGGGAGAGGAGGAAAGCAAAATGTTGATGTGCAAGAGAGTCTCGATTTTTCAAATGCAGAAGAGATATATGGCTAATTTTTTTAATTGGTCATATACCTGTCCTTTTTTCAAGATGCATAACAATAGTTTGCAAACTATTATAGAACTAGCTTATGAACTCTGATTTCAGCAAATTAAGGCAATTATTGAAATGACCCAGAATGTCATAAAGGAGCTTTAAAGGCACCTTCACATTAGGATTGAGATTAGCTGTACTACCAATGGAGGTTTTGTGGTAGAGGTGGGTAAATGCACTTGTGATCTCTCATAAGAGCACAAAACAAAATCATCCACAAACACTGCCAAGTCCTCTGCAGGGCTGCTCTCAATCTCTTCATGCCCCAGCCCGTCTTGGTACTTGGTCATGAGACTAAACATGTATTCTTGGTAGGCACATTCAAACCCATTTCTGAAACACATGTGTGCATATACACACATAGACAGCTATACAGGTCACTACAGCCAGAAATACTCAGCACTCACAGGAACAGCACCAATGGCCTCATCTTGTTGCCCTTTGGCTAATCAGGATGCAAGTCCATTAGTAGGAAATATATGCATACATATAATGTGCGTCTCTCCAATAGCTGAGCTTAGATACTCAGTCTAAACCTGGATCCGCAGTGTCCCCCACTGCTGTACCCTGGACGTCTAAGCTCCCAAGACTTGCAATCCCACTCTGGTTGCTCTTACAGACGGCACTCACAGACACACACTATGCATTGGCTGATACCTGGATCTCTGATCTCCCCTGCAGCTGTACCCTAGACATATGGCCCCCACTCCAGTGCCTGGTACAGATCTCCTCACTCACATGCACTACAGTTCTCTCAGTAGTTTGGCTTAGACGTGCAGCCTGTCCAGTAATGACCATGGATCCCAGATCTCCCCAGTTGCTGACACCTGCACACACTGCTCCCCAGACCACCCAGTCCCACTCCATCTGCTGCTTCAGATTTCCTTGCACATAGCAGCACATAAACATGCACACTGGATCTTTCCTGGGCACACGGCACCCAGTGTGTTAGATAGGCTGTCCTTCCAGCCTAGATCATTGTTCTCCGCAGCTGCCTCCCACACAGACTCCAGGGTCATTGAAGAAGGAGGGCAAGGAGGTGCTCCAGGCACCAGAGCAGAGATTCCCCTGCTGCTAGTGGTGAAGACCACGGTGAGGCAAGATGTGCTACTGCAGCCCATGGAGCAGATAACCATCCTGCAGCCTGTGGAGGACCCCATGTTGGAGCAGGTGGGTGCTCCCTGAAGGAAACCGTGAACCTATGAAGAAAAAGCCCATGCCGGAGCCAGCTCCTGACAGGACCTGTGACCCCATGGAGAGGAGGCTATGATGAAGCAGGCTTTCTGGCAGGACCTGTGATCCCATCTGGGGACCCACACTGGAGCAGTCTGTTCCCTAAAGGACTGCATCCCATGGAAAAGACCCATACTGGAGCAGTTCATGAAGAACTGCAATCCATGGGAAGGACCTATGTTGTATAGGTTTGTGAAAGACTGTCTCCCATGGGAGGGACCCCATGCTAGGGGATGAGTATGAGAACAAAGGTACGGCAGACAAAGCATTATGAGCTGACCTGAACCCCTATTCCCCATCCCTCTGCACTGCTTGGGAGGAGGAGATAAAGAAGTCAAGAATAAAGCTGAGCCTGGAAAGAAAGGACCAGTGTGGGAAATGTGTTTTAAGATTTGGTTTTATTTCCTGTCATCCTACTCTGTCCTTTTGATTTGCAATAAATTAAATTAATTCCCCACACTGACTCTGTTTTGCCTGTGATGGTTATTACTGAATCATATCCCTGTCCTTGTCTTGACCCACGAGCCTTTTGTCACATCTCCTGTTGAGGCAGGGAATTGGTAGGTGGGCACCTATCAGGCTAGTCAAGGTCAACATACCATATTATCACACTACCTTAATAAAGTAATATAACTCTAGATTCATCTTAATCCTGTGTGGAAATTAACTTCTTCCATATTTTAAAGTAAATTTGGCAGTTCTTCTTTGTCTGCATTTATTTTCATTTTTTAGCTCAAGAATGTTGTCACTGGGTCCTATGTGTGCCTTGGACATTTTTTTGAAAAACCAAATAATGTGATTGTGAACATGCCTCTATGTTGTGGATTTCTTCAGCACTCAGTACACTTATTTTACACGATACAGTCACACTTTTACAATTAATTCTCTTGAGTGCCCAGAAGTCCTCTCTTATCCTTGCACAAAGAATGATTTTTCTCAGTCCAGAAAAGAATCTATTCAGTTTTACACTGATGAGACAGTAGTGCTCTGCCACAGAACAGGACCTCACAGAAATCCAGATAGTAGTCCAACCCTTGATTATCTTGGTCTCTTTTGGAAGTCTATTCTCTTGCAAGAGAAAAAGACCCTTGACCGTGACCTCGAGATCTCACTATCTTATCCTAAGATTGGCTGCATTTCCCGAGGAGGTTAGTACAGCTGTGTTTGTAGGCTGTCACTGTGGCTGAAGGATACCGTCTTTTCTTCTTGGCACAGGCCATTGTGTGAGTTCCCATGAGACCTGACCTGATGATTTTTCAATGTGACCTAGCATTTTAAATTCCCTTTTGCTCTACTAAATAGACGTCTGAAAATATGGTTGATCAAATGTAATTCTCTCTAACACACTCTAGTTAAACGCTCTCAAGCCACTGCAGCAGCAGTATGTATCCTTAGAACCCAGGAAGGGAGCAGAGTGCTGGTACTGCCCATATCCTGGGTCCCACTGGGACTTTGAGAATGCAAAATTCCTGCAAGCTGCAGTTTAAGGATGAGCTTTCTTGCCTCTGGGCTGATGGCAACAGAGAGCAGAAAATTGGCTCTACAGTTATCCTTTCCAGAGCTATACAATAAAAGCACAAACAGATTTTATGCTGAATTCCAGATTGTTACTAATTTTAATCAACACTACAAGAACTACACAGATCTATTAAAAATAAAACTGTAAATACTTCCCTGCTTCATTGTCTCCATCAGCTAACATACCAGTTCATCTTTTACTTCAAGACAAAGTCTTCTGGGAGGGACGCAGATCTGTTTCCTGCAGTTGACACAGCTTCTTTTCAAGCTTCTATACTTACTGCCCATCCCTGTCATTTCTATAACGTTTATCCTCATATGAATTCTGTTCAAAAGTTTTGCTGTTTTAAATACTTTTTTGCTTTTCTTCCCTCCTTCCCTGGTTCTCTACAATTCTTTCCTGCTTAGGCAGCTCGTTTGCTAATACATTAAGGCAGTTCCACCTTGGAAAACTTTGTGGCCAACATTAGTTCCCAGATTGAGAGAGATGAGATGCAACACTGACAGAATGGTAGATTGCATGAACACTGGGTGCTCAGTGAATCAGCATCCTGTCTTGAGCCAGAGGTATTAAACAGTAAATAAAAGGATTTCTGAAGCCATCAGGCCTGGGTAGGGAAAAATATCACCAAGATCACATTATTATTATTATAAAAGGTCACTTTAGTTCACTTGTAATTTTCAAACATGCTAAGTTTTAATTAGAAAATTTGTGCAAATCAAAGAATTTTGTTGAAACTACCATCAAAATTGTGGAATAATTTTTAAGTGCCAGGTGGTCTCTTCATTTATAAAAATAGGGGTTGTTTGTTGTTCAGTTTTTAACTTGTTTTAATCACTTCTTGGAATAGTTACAGAAATTAAAAATCAATCAAGCCTATTCCAGTCTTCCGTCTTGTGAAAACTAAGTACAGTTTTGCAAGTTACACAAAGTGTCATAAACATTCCCATTTGCATTATATGTGCAACATACATGCGGTCAATATGTCATATTATGTTTTTTATCAATTTATGTACAGCCACATGTATAGTCTTAGTCACTTACAGGAGGGCAAAACTAGCTGCCTGCCAGATACCCACTAGCAGTACCAATACATTTTTTAACATATGACATTGCAAAGAATATTTAATTGCATAAACAATGTGACAGAATTTCAAGTAGGTAGCCAAGCATAAAGGGCCATTCTCGTGCACAGAAAGTTTGACTTAGGACATTCTGTATTTTGCAATATGCAGTCCTGTAACACTCTATAGCAATTAATCCAATTGCATTTATGGAATCAGGACTGCTCATCAATTTTACTGAAATATAAATTAATGCTAAAATCACGCAGATGTAGAAGCCAGACTTCAGGAGATGTGCACATGTATTAATGAAATAACTTGGTCGCTCAGTACAGAGCATAGACCTGCAAATGACTGAAAATGATAGAATTTTTATTTGCCAAACCTTTGATCAAAAATTATAATCAAAAGTTAAACTTCAATCAGAGCACACAGAGCTT